TTTCGGATTTCAAGTGATTTTTCGTACGATGAAAGTGCTTTCGAGTACTCGGCTATGTTATAATACACCATACCGATGTTGTTGTAGGAAGTAGCCAAGTCTGGATGATTGGGAGAGAGAGCTATTTTTCGGATTTCAAGTGATCTTTCGAACGATGAAAGTGCTTTCGAATACTCGCCCATGTTTTTGTATACCATACCGATGTTGTTGTAGGAATCAGCCAAGTCGGGATGATTCGAAGGGAGAGCTATTTTTCGGATTTCAAGTGATCTTTCTAATGATGAAAGTGCTTTCGAGTACTTGCCCATGTGATAATACACCCCTCCGATGTTGTTGTACGAAGTAGCCAAGGTGGGATGGTTCGGAGGTAGAGCTACCTCGAAGATTTCAAGTGATCTTCTAACAAATGAAAGTGCTTTTGGGTAGTTACCTCGTTGATCTTCGATCGCTCCGTTGCTATTCAGCACATGTGCTCGCTCGATGTCAGTGGAAGATGTGGCTAATAGGTGATCACAAATTTCCTGTGCTGTTTTGTAGTGATGAAGCTTGAACATCAAGTAAGCCATACAATTCCAGCTATTTACACCGATTTCCTGCCTTATAGAGTGTGTGAGAATAGATAGTTGTGGATCATCATCCTTGGTCAGAGTGAGTTGTACTTCATAGAGGTTGGGATTGTTGAGCGCCTGCGTGATTTCGTTGACTCGAAAAATCGTGTGCATAGAGAAGAGAATTTCTTCTTCGTCGTGGAATGGGCCGAGCCCTTGGATTTTGGCAAAAGGTGTTGATGAAGTTGAAGGTGTAATAGTCATTATGAAGAGTATGCCAACTGAGTTAGTTTCTGATGCGTTACTCTCGGCAAAGGCGAGGGAAACATCCCGATTTCGACTGGTGGATAAAAAGTTATTAAATGAGAGGAGACCACGCTTTGTTTTTTTAAGTTTCTCAAAATCGGCTTTGGATAATCCTTGTCCTCGGTATACAAGAAAGGCGTCATTTTCTGTTCTTGTAGACTGTTCTTTGTGTAATTGTTCCAGTTGGCAGTGAAGATCTCGAATAAAAAAGCTCATTTTCTTCATTGTTAGAGTATCCAATGTTCGAAGTGACCAGTTAACCTTCTGATATATGAAAGCTGTATGAATGTACCATGAGATTGACTTTTCAGGACTGTAATTCTTCTCGAAATCTTTGATAGTATCTAATGTTATCTTATTGTCGTTACATTTATCCCGCCAAAATTGAATAAAGTCTGTGATTTCTTCTTTTGTGTGATTGATTTCAAGTGTAATTTCTTTAAACAATTGTGTGTACATAAATGAGGGTTCTATTTGATCTAGGTTTATTTTCAAATTATCTTCGCCAATGCTGACAAAACTCATAGAGATATCGTTTTGGTAACACTGTTTGATTGCATGTAGTAGTGCTTCACAGAAACGCTTGATATCTGTGAATATGCCTTTAATTTTGTTGGAATTCTTGCTCCAATCGTGGATTAGAGATTCTCTGCTGCAGAAGATATAAACACTCAAAAGCCAAGGAATATCATCTACGATAGGTATCATGTCTTGATCTTTAGGATTTGACAAAATGAGAAATGTCTTTTGATCATTGAAGTCAGTGAGAAAATCTATACCTTCATCGGGTGTGGTGAAAATATATACTTCATCGATCACGTTTTGCAGCTGTATTAGTGTATTTTTATATTTTTCATTGTTTAGATCAATGTTCTCGTCGATCCAGATAATTACATAACTTTCAGTCATGCATTGTGTTGGCTCCATAACACTCGATAATATCGTCGCATTTGTTATGGTATCCGTTATGGATGTAGAAAATATTTCACTCGGTTTTTGCTCATCCATTTTGAATTTATTTGCCGCTTTATAACAAACCAAGAATGGAGAAAAGTTGTTTGAAATTCAGTCAGAAATATTTCCTTTCTATTGATCCGGTAAAAGTCGTTTTTCTTGACTTTTTTTTGACAACGTTCAAATGGGCTTTTGTTTGTCGACGCTTAGTAACGAATTTCAGTAGTCGTAAAAGAAAATTGTGTTGTAAAGAAAAAATGATAAAGGTATTCAGTGTCGTAGTGCATTCTATTGCTGCTCTTCAGTGTTTTAAAAACAACCATTTTTCTCCATGATAAGAACGAAAAAAAAACAATCCTAGTGAAACATTTTGTAAGCAAGATCTTAATATCTTGTGACAAGATTTTGACCAAGATACAAAGTACAGAAATGTTAACAGATCTTGATAGTTTAGGTGCAAGATAATAACGTTATCATCTTGCACCAAGATCTTGACTTGATATCACCTGTTAAGGATGATTTTGCTACTGCTTGGAGCTAAATTGTCCTGAATCACTTAAGATAACATGATCGTCATTCAAGGGTATTCGTGAGGACGACGATTTTGAACGGTTTTCGAACTGACCATTGGTCTCTAACTTGACCCCTTGTGTTTTCAGAAGCGATCCGATTTCAGATTCATATTCAGTGTCAAATTTTACTTCTGATTAGCTATCTCGATAGTAATTAGAATCATCCATAAACGACTTTTAGTGATCATTTTTGGACACGGATATTTCAGTTAAGATCTTATAGATCTGTACCGAAGATCTGATTACATATATTGGTACAAGATGATGTGACAACAGGTTTATTTATTTTAAAAAAACCTTGAAGAAGAAAAGCTCTTGACACTAGGTCTTTTGCTTTTAACAATAGTAAAAAAAAACAAAAGTGATAATAATAGTAATAAAAGAAACAAAAAGAAAACAATTCAATGTGGTATTTATCTCATTGTGTTCAATTGAGTAGAGAGATTATGTTTTGTTCAGTTACTGTATAATGTGTTTCTTATTGTTGTTTCAGTTACTGCATCCCATGTATTTTGAATCCAATAAACTGCATCTAAAGCAGTAACATTAATATCATCAGCTTTAGCAGCTACACCAGCACTGGCGATAATATGCTTGACCAGGCTGCGTCTGTAATAAGCTTTGAATGCTCGAATAACTCCCTGATCCAT